GTTGCCTCAGCTACAAGATCATCCTTTCTTTTCTTGACATCCCAACTCATTCAAAACACATATTCCAACTTCCTCAACAACTGAGATGAGTCCTGCAAACAACAGACTCTTTCACTGTGTTGTGCTGATTCATTCCAAGCACTGTTCATCCTGCAATCTGAATGAGGCAGGGTCCTGTGGGAAAACAAAGAATGAGATCATGTAATTAAAGACTATCTCATAATGTACACAGGGATTGAACTATAATGGCCTCAACAATCTTAATTCTGTTTCTTAACTCTTGAGTGATTAAGACTGCAAGCTATTTTGATGTTGTTTTCTCTATATAACCAACAACATTTCTGAGCAAAGGAATCTAAAAGCAACCAAAACCCCCAAGCCAAAAAACAATCACATGGAATCATACCAACTACTACATGGTATGCAAGGAGAATTACCAGTAGAGCCAACTGGAGGAGAAAACAACACTGCTATTTTTATTGAACATTTTTCTATTCTCAAATTGCCTATCCATTAATGTTTAAATGTTTCCCAGAGTTGTTTCAATGTTAATGAAATTCTGCCAGATTAAGCTGTTTTCAAATCCTGCCTCATGCTTCTCACCAGCTCACACACTTGTTCACTCTGGCAGGATGCTGAAGAGCCTGACCACACTGCCCAGGCCAACAGCATACCTGACAAAAACAGATCCCAGAAGCCCTGCTTCCAGCCTTGCAATTTCTTTGCTGTGTACTTTGTCAAGTTGGACACAGAATAGCATTTTTATTTTTTTTTTTAATAAGAGTTTCAATTTAAATATGCAAAGCTTCTAAATCTCTTATAACATGGACACCATTCCCCATCCAGAACCCCACACCAAGTCTCTGGTACACATACTATTTATTTGCTAGCTCAAAGTATGAATTGTACAAACAGCATTCATTTTTCTTTGACTTTTCTCAAGATCTGGATCTTCTGCAAGTACTGACAGCCATATCACAGTAAGAACAATTCTTGTTTTTAAAAAACAACCCTCCACCCTGAAATTCTAGATCCTGAAAACACTGTTTCAAACCTCTAGAGAAACAGGTTTGAGGCTATCACACCCTATGCTTTCTTTCTCAGCATGCCAGGTGTGCTATGCTTAGTGCTTCCAGAGAGCAACACAAGCAGGGCTGTTCCACAAGAGAGGACATACTGGGAGCCAAGGGTAACCTCAGCAAAGTCCTTGCCCACACTGACTGCAGCACAGTCCCATAGCATATGAATGCAATAGGCAGAACAAGGTTTTGGAAACAAGGTCCACCCAGACACTTCAGTGGAGAGCAGCTGGAGGCAAAACTAGAAATGAAGCTACAACATGAACCAGTATTGCCCACCCAAGGAAGAAAAAAAAAAAAATGCTAGAAAAAGAACTACCTGCAATACAAGCCTAAGGTCCAGCCAGGGAATAAAGTCAGATAGTCAGATGAACAGAAAGACAGAAGAACAAACAGAATGCCAGCATAACTCAAGAAAGAAGTGATAGCCAACGTCCGAGCTTAAATGGCATTCTGGGTCCACCTCCATGGGCAGAGGGTGTGTGGGCAGCATCCCAGGTGAGGCTGCTCAGAGCCATCAATTTCTATTAGTGCACTCAGAGCATGGCAAGTGTTACAGTTAATGTTAGGGTTATGGTTAAGAAAAACACAGGCTATGGAGCCTCAGCATACTCAGTAGTTTGTAATTTCTAGGGGAGGGCGTGAGCTTCTATGAATAATTCCTGGTGTTTGGGGATTTTTTCATGTTCGTTCGGGGCTTTGTGGCTAATGTTGCTCATTTAAAGGATTTATTCTTCCTCTCTTTCTTTAGCTGTATTTTGACTTATACTGGATCATTTGTTTGAAGCCATATCCTTCCTTTCTCTGTTCTTTTTGTTTGTCTCCTTTGTTCATATTTTATGTTTGTTGAAATGTAAACTTCTTGGCACTGCAATGTTGAACAAGTTCCTCAACTCTGGTTGAACTTGTTAATGTTGGGAACAAGAGTCAACACAGCATAAAGGATGTTAAAACTTTTTCCTAACTACTGAAGGTTTTTCTATCATAGATGCTTAGAGATCTAGTTCCAATAATTCATTCTAAGTTACAATGTTCAGTCCTTCAAGAGTCTCTGAACTGGCAGGACCTAGAGAGATTTTAAGACACCAAACGCACACACACACAGACTTCTTCTTGGATGGTGAGCTATATATTGCACATTATAGATGCATCATGAGGTTTCACCTGTTGTCCTTTAAATGCTTCTGAGGCTTAGACAGATGGAGAATTGGGTGCAGTTCTGGTGTTAATTCAGAAATATTGTCCATCAGTCCTGACAATAATGCCTTATTTATTTGTCCACACATAAATTCTATAAATGAGAGTAGCTAATACAACTCAAGGTGCTTGCAACTGAAGGTTTCAGTGAAGAAATGCATGTTACTGTTTTGAATTTCTAATGGATTTCTTTTTTTTTTTTTTTCTATCCAGAATGACAGAACACACTCTCACATTGATCACACTCTCATGAAGCAAAGTAGGAAGACTTTTATCAGCTACTTTCATCAGCTATCCGTTATATCCAGGCTGAAACACAGGTGGTGACTAGCACAGCAACAAAGCAATGTGGCACAGATGGCAGGAAAAGGTGCCACAATCAGTTGAATTTTAGGCCATAGTAGGGTGCTGTTTCAGGAGTTTTGCCAGGACTTGCTATTCTTAAAGAGAGTGCCATAGAAGCTTTCACATCAAAAAGTGTGACTTCTGATATGAAAGGTAGCAGATCATATTCACAGCTGAGTTTTGGCTCCTTTCTTCTACTTAAGAAGCAGACAGAAAATTCTCAGTATAAAAGAAAATCACTGGGTTTATGGTTGCTGTATGGCACTGGAAATGAATACAATCAGCATTCAGAACAATACAGATATATCATGAGAATAAGATACAGTTACACAAAAATCTGTGCTCCCCTGTTACAAGAAATTGCATCCAGCGTGAGAGTTGGTAGACTTTATTTTGGGGTGATGGTAACACAGCACTGGGATACTCACTCTGCTGACTGCATCCCCAGTGTTACCTACCAACTCACCCAGGTGCACAGAGTCAGATGTGGGCAGTCATGAACCACTCACACTCCGACCTAGCATTGCATAAGATTTTACTGTCCCACAGCTGTTCAGAGATTCAGAAGCTGACCCTCTCAACCTCTATATGAAGTACATCCAAGCAGGATTTACAAGCTGAGAAACGGTCCATTGCTAATGTGGTCTAAATGCTTTTTAGATCACAGAGTGAACAAAGTGATATTGTGACTGTGTGGACAGTCTTATGTGACTGTACTTGGATATCCATCCAAGTACTGGAAAACCTGACCTTAACTAAATTGTTTAAACAAAAATTTGCAAATGTAATACAAGATTTGACTACGTACATCAAATCAGTTATGCTCATTGGGTAGGTACGCATCTCTTCCATACACCAGGGGAGTATTTCCAATATAGTAATATATGCATATGTATACAAATACACACATATACATGTATACATATATAAAATGAAAAGATACATAGTGAAGTACTCTGGGCTTTCTAAATGAGAAGACTAAAATTCATAAACATGTATTTGGTAATTCATTCAGCCTGTGCTGAATATAGAACCCTTCACATGGAGTTTTCAAAATATGCAGAATGTGAGGTGAGTTCATTAATGAGGTGTACAAGAATGGGAGCAATAGATCTTTTCATGCAAAGAAGATTTGGCCTAGAGCAAGAAGAATCATCAGCTTCAACATCTCTGGTTTTGCTAAAAGATTTTTTCTGATACTACAGAACAATACCAAAATCTCTAAAGAACAGGTGTTTCCTAGTCCTCTTTCTGATGCAGAGGCTGCTTTGGAGAAAATTTTCAAGTAATTGAACTGTAATTCTAATTAGAAAGCATGTACAGAAACTCAAATGAAATAAAATACTGACGCTCAAACAGTTCAAAAATTTAGTCATGCATGCATAAAGCACAGATGAAATTGTAAAGATGGATGGCTCAGAATAGAATATTGTCTGTTTAGGGTTTTTTGTTGATTTCTGTTTTGGTGGTGGCGATGTTTTTTCCACAACAAAGTTTCTTTCCTTATTAGTTGACCTGCCCTAAAACATAACAGAATTTATATATGGACATGCATATACATATCTTTTGACAATTATACAAAATATTGAATTTATCATTTCAATTCAACACAAGCATTTAAATTTATGAAACAGAATTTTCTTTAAAAATATTATTATTGTAATATTATACATATCTACTAAATGTGCACAAATCATAAGGTTATTCTATCCCCATAAAGTAATTCGATACTTAGAAAATGATTGTATGAAGTATTGAAACCCACAGTTTGGATTTACACCATGCACATTTGAATTACAGAAAGTCCTAGAAAGTACAAACAGAATAGATGAAATTATTTTTTATGTGTTAAGATGTAGTCTGCCAAATTTAAATTGCAACAGCAATATACTTTTGGCTAAAACATAGCCATTGTTTTAGGTTCAGGTACTGAGCTTGAACTGCTCAGAGAGCTTCAGCCAGTCAGTAAAACAGTGGGAATTAAAGAAATGTCCACCACTTGTCATGACGGTAAGTATTTTGACAAAACCCATCATGCAATAAATAAATAAATAAACAGTATTAATGTCCATTTGCCTTGATAAAAGATTTCAAAAACATACATGATATCCTAGCAACTAGACATCAGAAGTTTTCGATGCACACACCTCACCCTTTTCACTGTCTCATGTAATAAAAAGAGAATAATAAAATTCCAAACATGCATTCAAATCCTGACATAAAGCCTGAAAATACAACTGCTCAACAATACATAGTAGATTTGAGCTCTTTTTTTTTTTTTTTTTCCTGGCAGAAGTATATGCTTAGACAACTTCCAGAATATAGCTTTGTGATTGAAAGGGCAAGATAGTGTGTTTTGTGCTCTTGTCCGGATAGGTTTCTAGCTGTGAAAACGTAAAACCTTACCACATCAGGTTTCTTCTGATGGCTTTTGTTCCATGTCCAAATATTTTTTTCTGGAATCTTTCCTTCTATAACCCATGCTGTCAAGAGCCCTCTTTGTGGTCCCTTCCTCAATCTGCTTCTCCTAAAACAATACAAACTTTCATTAATACGTGAGGATACTTGAGAACACAGCTCCCTGGAGCATCTAAAGAAAGTGCCAGAAATGGGCCACATGGCACAAACCAATAAACTACAAAGCCATTTTATAAAGCCAGTTGTACAATAAAAACACATTCATTTAATGTCTCTTCTCTTCCACACTAAATATTTTCATTTTCAAAGCACTTCGTTATCCCACCAAATGAAACACTGTCTCTAGCTTTATCATTTGCTGTCAATGCCTTTTTGTAGAAAATCATCAAAATCACTGTTGATTCTGCATGTGCAATAGACGTCTTTTGTCTGGTATGATATGCAATCAGTGCATATCAGTATTATTTTGGGTACTTCTTGACTTGTTCTTATTTTGATGCCATAAACCAGAGGACAATAAAGTGATTTGGATTCAGAGGCTGACACCAGGATGTATTTCACCCGCACAGTAATCAATAGTAGCCAGAGTTCACAAGGAAAGTGTGGATCACAGATCATTTCCTTTCCTTGGTTTGAGTATGAGTATAGACCATAATGTGCTGAGTGTCCTTTCCTGCAAATGGCATTCTAAAATGTATGCACTGATTCCAGTAAATTGAAAACTCCTAATTGACCCATCACACAAAATAGAACAACACAAAGGAAGTTAATTATAAATACATTGGAAGTGAAAGGAGCACAAGGGTTGAGATGGCATATTGAGAGAGAATCAAGAAAGGCAAAAGCCCAAATCTACAAAAAGAGAGGGGCAAGTATTGGTGTCAGGCAAGTGCTGCCTTCAGAGCACAGTCAGCAGGAAGGACTGCTTCAGCTTCTCAGCAGGTTTCCAGGGTTAACATAAAATACTGTTAAATACTTTTCAACCCTGTGTACTGCCTGGTGTCAGGCTAGTGTACAGCACGGCCCTCTCCTACATTAGTCACCTGGTGAGCATGTGGGTTATGGCTTTGTGTTTCCATTCTCTGTGAACATCTCCAAGCAGAGGGCCTAGGCAGTAGAATCTGATCCACAGAGACAGGCACACCAGATACAACATAGCTGAAAAATGCTGACAACCCATACAAACTAACTCTCCAGCCACCCACATACTTGTGATTTTATTTTAAAAGACACCTGATTTCAGCAAGTTTCTCAACACCACAATTTGTGGCCCAACCTGATTGAGCGGTTTTCAGGCCAGAGCCCTCCTTTTTGGCATTCCGTACATGATAGGCCTTGCACTGAGGTCAGCTGTGGGTGGCTAACCAACATGTCCAGACACTGCTGTGGCTACATCTGATAGGTTACTTGCAGCTCACGTGCACAGTCAGTGTGATCTGGGAAAGGGCCACACTCTCAAAGGAGGACAATGAAACCATTAGGTTATCAAGTATTTCCAGTACCTCTGGGCAAAGCTGCCCCACCATGTCTTACATTTACAAAAGAAGAAACTGAAACAAGCAGATCTATAGAAATTAAAATTAATAACCTATGCAAAGTTGATAAAGAAAACTAAGATCAAGAAAGTGTGGCATATGGCAGTGGCCAAAGTAAAAGGGAAAATGCTTAATAGTACAGGAAGATGAAAAGGCTGGTTCAGTGCATTGCTGTTTTATATCTGGGAAGACAGATGAGATACACTGTCTTATACAGAGAATGAACTTCTTTAGCATGGACCAGTAATTACATACGTCAAAAAAGTGCGTGCTGAATAGAGCTAAATATTTTCAAATTCCACACAGGAGTCCCAGAAGAGTTTCTGAGATGATTTCAACCAATCGCTTTTATTTTCTGACTGAGACTTTTTAATAACTTGAATCAACATCAGAAAACTGGAGCCATACCAATATTCTTTTGCCATTATTCAAAAGGTCATGCAAGATGAGCTGGGGAACAGAAGGACAAATGTTCTGACGTCAGTCCAGAGACACAGAACTCAGATAAGATGTTTCATTTTTATAAGGTATTATTCATACCATAATACAACTATAGAATCATTCCTTCCCTTGGCCTGATGAACATCTTCCCAGGAGAGCTCCATTATAAAACGCCTGATAGCCACAGTCTTAAGGCACTTGCCAGGAAGACAGAAGGAGGACTTCTTACCAGCAGGAAAGGATAATATGGACCCTCTTCACACACCCCAGGGCAGTGTGCTAGCAGATTCCTGCAGTCGCTTCTTGCTCTCTTCTGTAAGAAAATTTTAATAAGAAAAATTTCAAGTCCTTCCACATCTGAACAGTACACACAGTTTGCCCATCTCATCTTCAGGCAGCTGCGGTATTTAGTAACAGCTCACCTGCTTCAACACATGGGCAATGAAGGAAAGTATATACAAATCCATCTATGAGGGTGTAACTGCAAATGTGCACACACAGGTACACTACCCATACCACCAGCGTGTCTCTCTTCTACCTTAATCCTTTGCTTTCCTTAGATATACAAATCAAAGCAATGTAAGTAGAGGTGTTTTACATTTTAATTTAAGTCACAGGGATTTCTTCTTGTTATACATTTAAATTTCATCCACCTCATGTTATACTGAAATACATTGCAAATTGAATTATTATTTCTTTAATTTATAAAGTTCTCTATTGGCAGAACACATAAGAGAAATAATACAGGCTGAAAACCTGATTATTGAAAACGAACATTCAAGTCCAACAAATAATTTATCTTGCTAACTTAAAGGCACTAATTTATTTTCCCAAAATGAAGTAGAAGTCATATTTTTAGAAAACAATAAAAAGCCTTCCTAGTAGCACAAATATCTGTGTCATCTCAAAAGAAACTGTATTCAGTACTGACGTGTACATAATGTTATAGATGTGAAACTATCCAAAGGTCAGTGTCCATAATGTTTGTATTAATTATTTATACACAACTCTGTCAAAAGTTTCAGAGCTGCACGAGGTGTTTAAATGAATTTTCAAAAACCTCTAGGCCCTCAATTTGCATTAGAATCAAAACCTCAGGGACTTATCTAAACTTTGGGAGTATTTGGCCCTTGATCACATTTTTGAACACACATGGACAAAATTTTTATAAGCACTTAAATAAGTTAGAATCATAAATCCCATGACTTTAAGCCCACATGGGAACCCAAGCACTTAAGTTTTCTTGGCTTCTGGAAGTACTTTCTATCCAAAGTCATTCCTGATTACAAGAACAGATCTTAGTATTGGACTACAAGCTCATTGTTCCTTTGTTTCAATTTATGTTTTTAAACATTATGGATCTGGACTTTTTTTTTTTTTATGTAAATAAAGCCTTTGAATAAATTTGTAAACCTGAATCCTATTATAATTACCTATTATTATTTATTTAAGATCAAAATCAACAGAAATATATTAAATGGACTTAATTGAAAACATAGCTTTAAAAGTCATTCCAACAGCTTTTTCATATCTCATTAATGATTTTTCAGCCACGTTGAACACATGAACACAAGAAGATAGGTTTTCTGAATAATAATAAAAATAAAAAGGCAGTATAGGGAAAATGGAATAACTTTATACATATATACAACCTGAGATTTTATGCCTCTCATTTTAGGTGTCTCTTCTGGGATGTTTTCTCACTGTTTCCTGGAAGAAAAATTTTATAATGCCACATAGAAACAAAGCTAAATAACTTCACTTTCCCAATAACCTATACCGAGCTGTACCTTCTCTTGGAGTGCAATTGCTCAGCCATCCCACCTGAAAGCAAAGCTATACCTGCAAACTGCAGGTACTAGCGACAGTGGCTTAAGGTTTGTACCTGGTCCCTGTAGGAGCTATGCCACTGGTGCCTAGCAGCCTCTGTGGACCAAAGCATTACCCATTTAGAAGCAGAAAACAAGAGACAGAACTTTAAAACAGTACACAACCCTTCACAGTCTATGATTTCCTGTGGTTCACATTTCCCCAGAAGCTGGAGAAAAACTCCAATTGCTTCACATTGCAATCCCCAGGATTTCTGTCCACATCTCACACCTGTCCCTGTCAGCAAGAGCAACAGACTCATAATTCCTGCTTGCATCCCTCTATCTTTACTGTCTTCTTCCCTCTCTCCAGAGAGCCCATTTAACGGTGCATCGCTCCTTTGATCTCCTTATTCCAGCTCAAATGAAACAGCTGTGTAACTCTGGGCTCTGTAGGCTTTGCCACTGCATCTCCCACTCATCCAAGGGTCCATCCATGTTGCTTTCTTGCCTCTCTCCTAAAGGCTTCCTATTAGACAAGATCAATACAAAAGATATAATCACTTACTAGCTCATACTATTAACACATCACCCTTTAATCAGTCCCCTAGGCAATAGTCAAGAAACTGAAACTAGAGAGTAGGGGGAAGCAGTTGCTACAAATTCAGCTCATTAATGAGGTTCCATGTTAACTTTGTCTGAAAAAGAATATTGTGATTAAAAAAATAAAAAACTCTAAGACATCCAGACAGTGCCAAGCCGTTGCACCCATGTGCAAAACTTTTAACACACACACGTACTTCATAAAGATATATTCATGTATCCAATGATAAAAGTAGAAATATAATAAGAAAACAGGCTTGGCTTTAGCTGAATCCTCACATGACCCACTTGAAAAACTCAGCAGGTGGTAGCTCTAAATGACCGACATCTATGATCATCTGTTTAAAATATCTTTAGTACGAAAACATACGACAGAGAATACTTGAAAAGTGTATTGCCCTATGCCCTAAAACAAGCAAATTAAAAAAAGATAAAATAAAATAAAATAAAATAAAATAAAAGAGATTTTAAAGAATATGCCACTTGCTATATATCATCTTCTTACTCCTTCCCTTTCAGACATCAGAATATTATTACTTTTGTATGACTGAAACTTAATCCTCATGACATCATTAAGTTCTAGAAAGTAGTACAGATTTAAAATTTGTGAACATGAACATAATGCATACAGGATATTTATACCTTGCTTTTCATCTCAAAGAATAATATAAAAGTGCAGCTTCAAGAAATATCACTGTCCACTAGTCTTCTTTTTTTAACCAGAATCATTAGTTTACAATTCAGTGGGAAACCTCAGGGAAGTTTAGAACTGGGCTGAAATCTCTTCTGATTACAATAATATTATGTAAAAGTTGTTTTTTCTCCAAACAAAAGATAAACAGTTTCCCAAATGAATTCCTCCCCTCCTACCAGCACCATGTACTAACTCCCATGGAGAATTAAACTCAGGACCTTCAGAACAGATGGCAAAGGCCTTATCTGCTTTCCAATCACAGCATGGGGCAATATAGGTTTGTCTGATAATGTACTCAAATTGAGGAAAAGGTTTCTTGACCTTTATATATCTATCAATATATCTAAATCCATCAAACAAATGCTTTTTAAATGTAATCTACAAGTTTAACTTTGACTTTTAAAAAGTAATTTACAGAATTACCTATGGCAAAGGTTATTCTGTAAACCACAGATGCTAAAGAAATTGTTCTCAGTATAGCGCTCTTCTAGTCATATGTTTTGTCAAATCTCAGGCACAATTTTGTTCTCTCTGTCTTTAATTAAAAGACACTTATTTTTCAGCATTTACTTTATATTATTTCATAGCTTATTTTGTATCTCTTTCATATCCTCTTTCTACATTTGTGCTTAAATTATGCCACATCTTTGGTACTGTGTTATAAAATGATCTCACTGTGAATTAGCAGATGAGCGCAGCTCAATTCTGACACTACACCAATCCAACAGCTCCGTTAGCTCTATTAAATTGTCATCGGCCCACCTACAAAATTCTTACAGGAAAAAGTGATAAAATCTTTTGCCCAAACTATGAAAAATATGTAGACTTCAGAGCAAAAGCAGCTGTTACCCTGAAGTACAGTTCTTTGCCTTTTCAGCTGTGATCTTAGCCAGTTAACACTTCAGTTTCTGAATGTTTCAGCTTTCATTTTAGTGCAATAGTCTTAAATTTGACACTGGTTAGGATATTATTGTGTGTTTCAAGTTTCTATTAAAATTCCTCTTTCATTTTTAGATGTTTTTAAAGGTAATAAAATTAGGTTTAGGGCAATTTTATAATATTAAATATACAAGGAAAAACAGATGAAACAGATGACAAAGTTTTGAAGTGTGAGGGAGTGAGAATCGCTAGCTGGTGGTAGTAGTGATCTGATGGTTCTTGGGGTGCTAGGTGATATGTATTGCTGGGCTTCCTGTAGTCTCTACTAGAAGGATATTTGTTCAACATAATCTTGTGTTTGTTTTTTTTTCTAGAATTCTTGTTAAAACTCTTAGGGAACCACATATGCTTCCTACAGGGGAAAACAAAAGAGAAAAAGAAAGAAAAAGTAAATTAAAGAATAAGGAAAAAGAGGGTCTCATTAAATTCACTTAAAATATTTCCTCACTAATACTTCTAGCAACCATATTTTTGCTGTTTGGATCACAGCAACAACAGCAGTGGAGGCTTAGAAAGCTTGTTCTAATTAACTCACACATGTTCTTTCCCATAGAGGCAACTACAATGGGACCATTCAGATGTTTACAAAGGAACTAACAAAACTTGTAGGGATGTACACGAGTAGGTAAGAAGGATTGCAATGTATAATTTCCCCATATAAACATTGTCTGTGCATCAAAGTGACTGTCATTAGCTGGGAAGAGATTAAGGTCCTGTTTACCTACTGCAAAATCCTTTTTCTGTTCATGACCTAAATATCTTAGAGTCCCCTGCAGCCACTCTGACTCCATACCAAATCACATCTGCGTCTTCCTCCTATATTGCTGTTGTGCTGATTTATTCTTGCAGCCAGGAGCCCTGTCTTTATTACATGTGATGGATTCCTCATGACTTTCTTGTACAATCAGCGAGATTTTACACTTCATTAGAGGCTAACATACAGACTTATGTAAGGAAAAAAGTCTGAGCAAACCATCTTAGTACCAAAATCCAAAGCTTGTCATAGAAGAGGTTTGTGGTAGACCCCACTAATAAAGTGCTCAATGCTCATGCATGCCCTATAATCATCAAAATAATTCTAGACTTGATTGATATTGGCTTGTCCCTGGTGTTCTCTGCAGTGCAGCACAGAGATGCCCCAAATAATTCTGCGTTAAATAGGTTGGAAAAAAAAAAAAAAAAAAAAACTAGTTTAGCAAAATGTCTTAGATACATATAGTAATCATGTACATCTAGACAACTGTAGAATTTCAGCATAATCTGAACACCTCAATCTGACTGAGCAAAGGCATTTGCAATATGGTTAACAAAACTGCTCAGAAAATGAAACTTTCAGCCCACATCTTCCATTGCTGCTTCTGGGCAAATGTTTTCCACTGTGTGGTGTCCAGGCACAATTTGGGATTAGGGTAAGAAAAAAGAGTAAGTAAGAAAGGTAGAAGATAAGATGGGATCATGAAGAACAGTCTAGCAAATAGGTGTTTTTTAAAATATCTGTGATAATTTGTAATGAATTATGTAACTTATGCAAAAGGATTAGCATAGACTATTGCTACATGGTATATCTAGGGCAAACAAAGATATTTTTAGTTAAGAACATAACTTTAATATCTTGCTTTTTGTATGAATGTCCTCTTTGGTCTTGAATTAGTATTTGGCCCACCCTGAATACTACAAGCACTTTCCTCTTTGTGAAGCTTCTATTGTGTTCTCCCACAATAGAAAGGAAATGGGGGAAGAAAGAGAAAGAAGGCTAGCCACAAGGCTGACCACAATGAAACCGGCCATTCTTCTGTTAGGGCACTAATGCTAATGGACTGAAAACATATTGGCAAGGTTATTTCCCCTTCTGAAATTTCAAAACAGCAACTTACAAAGGTATATTTTGTAGACCTATTAGGCAGAGTGATATTAAGCTAAAACCAGAAAGTATTTCAAAATTGTAAATCCCTACTTTCAAGGCATATCTACACATGTTCAGTCTGAGAAAAGTCAGGCAGCTCTTTAAAATCCAAAACTGATATTTTACTATATTTCTTCATTTTTAGCCCTGTATGCATGCCCAGATTTTGTCTGATGTGTACAAATCCTGATTCTGTCTTTTCCAATTTCCAGCAGAATAGGGCTTTAAGACACAATTGCTTCTTCCTCTGAATATTATTTTCCCACTTCTTTTAAACATTAAGAAATTGTCTCTCATTATAAAGATTCTGTAGGAATCTTTAGAGAAAAAGTTCACTTTAGAAAGTGGTGCAGAATTGAAGACAAGAACAAATCCTCAGCTCTCACAACTCCAGTATTGATCTTTATTGTTTTTTTCCTTATGACCCTAGAATAACCATCAAAAGAAATCACCCACAGATAAATGTGCTTACTGCAGATAAATTAAACTTGCTCACTCTTGCCTTCCTTTTTAAATGCAGAAAAGATTTTACCAGAAAACCTTTTCAGTAAATAAAACTATAAGCATTCTTACAGGTCTATAGCAAAGATTTGCAATGCATTGTCTAGCGAGGGGGTGCACTAGGGCCTGCCCCCCTTAGTACAGCCTAGATGAGAGATCAGAGTCAGACAGTCCGCGGCATGAAGGACAGGAAATTTGCTTTTTACAATCCATTGTTATCCCAACCAGTTTCTTAAAGACAGAATAAGCAAACGAACTACTTCAGGATTAGACCTGCTGGTATGGTATAAAGAAGGAATATATATATATGTATATATATAAATATATATT